TGTCAAGCAAAATGTCTGGATGCGAAAACTCCCCCACTCCCCTCCCTCCGTGGCTGCCTCAAACACTTTCTGCACTTTCTCTCGTCAGCACGCGTGGATGTTGCGCCCCCGGGACAGCCTCGACGCCCCCCCAAACTCCGCATGAAACGCTGGGCGGACGGCGTGGGAATGAGACAGAGCCTGGGAGCAGTGTGAGGGTATCCGCGAGCAGCGGCCGGCGGCGGATGGAGTATAAACCTGCGCCCATGCGAGCCTCAGCCCTCTGCCTCCACGCCCCGTCCCTTCCCGTCTGCGCCCTTTGGAGATCCGTCTCCTACCATACCGGCGTTATCTAAACAGCTTCACAAAGCAATAAAATACAGCTTAGATATCGTTCCAACATCTGGCATTAAAATACGAAGACAGAAAAAAAAAAATCACCACAGGACTTTGTTTTTACGACCGAATCTAAGTACTGTCAGGTTCGTTCTCTCACAAGTTAACTCCTTCCAACAGCTGGGAGCGTGGCGAGCTAACCTGGCATGTTTTCCTCACCCCTCCTTAAAAAAAAAAAAACCCTCAACAGTAACCCAAAGAATCAGCTTATTCAGGCTGGTTTAGTTACTTTCGTGCATTCCGTCTGCAGGGCCTTAAAGAGGGTCCCTGGCAGCAGAAACTCCAGGCCCCCTTGCCTCGGGTTTGGGGTTCCTGGGTGAGCGGTCACAGGCCCTGGAGAGCGGCCGGAGCCACGACCTCTCCAGCTCTGGCTGCTGAGTCACAAATAGCGTCCCCTGGAAATGAGATCCAGGGAGCACTCTTGCGAACTCCCTGCCAGCTGGACACGCCACACAGCTCGGGAAAGGCCGCGTTTAGCGCAGGCTACCCGGCGGGTTTTGGGTGAGTACGAACCCCACCTGCGCTCCCTCCTTCCCGGGGCGCCGGGCACCGGCCGTGGGGTGCAGGTCGGCGGACGCTGCCGGTGAAGCCGCGCCGAGAAGCGAACTAGGCTTGGTTTGCATTTCGAGCAGTTACTAGGGCAGGTAATCGGCAGAGAAAACGAAAGAAAAGCCCTCGTTAATTTGCGTACAGGACGACAGCCACTCCCTTCAGGAAACTCGGTGAATTTTAAATTGTAGTGGTTAATGATTAAACCCCCTTTAAACTCGCGAAATCAAATCATCCAGCAGAAACGTCCCGAGCAAAAATGCCACCGCCGCCACCAGCGCCTCCCGGTACGAGCCTGCTCTGAAGCAGAACTTGGAGCTACACAGCATCGCTACCCCAGCCTGGAGACTCCGGCGGGGGCTCCCGCGCCGCAGCTGTTGTCCACCCGCAACCCCGGACACATCGTGTTCCCCTCCGCGGCTCAGCCAGCAGCATCCCCCACACGTTCCCGCAACCCTCGCCATCCCCCCGCCGTCCCCCCGCCCGGAGTTCTGCCCCCGTATTTCATCACATGGCCACTAAAGGGTTAAGGATAATACCTACCAAATCTGCTGTGGTCTTGCCTGGTTCCCTGGATAGTACCATTGGGGAAGATTTCTAAATGAAATCCAGTCCTGCAGTATAGCTGCCTCCGCCTGAGGATCCCCTTTAAATGATCCAAGTCCGTGACCGCAGGGCCCCTGGGCAGCCCACCTGCCTCAGACTGACCCAGGTGGTCACTTAACAAAACCGGGCTATCCACCGGCAAAACGGGCACATTCCCAAAGGGTACTGCGTCCTGCACACCGAAATAGTTCCCAACTTCACCTAAGGGAGCCATCAGAAGATTCTGCTTTTAGAGAATAAGAATAAACAATAATGATGGTGCCAAACCCAGGAGATATAAGATTAGGTATATTCCACTCCTCTCCCCTCCCTAGCGCAGTTACAGAGAAAATGTTCTTTCTTCAATCCATTAAACGCATAAATAAAAGTAATATTCTCTTTTGACTGGTACAGGTTCAAGGTCAAACCAGTTAGTCTAAGAAACCACCACTTTATACTCACACACTGACATATTTATAAACATATAGATGTGTATATCTATATAAATGCATATATCCCCAGCTCTTAGCAAGCAATACGGTCTTCAGCCCATCCAAGTGTAATAAAAAAAAAAATCCGTAGTTTCTCCATTTGGTTTAAGATAAGAATGACCATAGCAACTTAAATACCTAGGCGTTATAGGGATTTTTTTTTTTTTTTAAGATGCACAGGCTACGTCAGGATTTATGGATTCTGACTCCAGAAAGGCATGCGCTGTTTTTACTCTATAACAGACTGCATACATCAGCATGAATCCTGCAAAGGGGGAGGGGGGAAATCTCACGTTGTTGGCTGAGATAAATCCAAAAAAAAAAAAAAAAGGAAAAAAGAAAAAGGAAAAAAAAACAACTTTTGACGTCCAAATCTATTATCCAGAATTCTCAGGAGGCTCAGCAGATGTCCACTGGTTTAGAATTATTGACGATCCACAAGCAAAGCAGCAACATACAAGTGCTTGTGTCTTTCTTGGCTGGCTCGGAACAGGTGTTGCTTCTGCAGGGCTCCCTCTGAAATGTTGTACTCCAGCACTGAGCTGCAGCTCTTGACTGTGGATCTCCATCCAGCACGCAGACTGGCGCAGGAAGAGGCATTGGGCTGGGTTTAAGGTAGTCCTGATTGCTGCTGGAAGGATTCTCCGAGGTCCTAGCGCTCAGCCCTACCTGCTGCAATACAGAGCCGCTTCCAGCGCCAGGCACGGCGTGGAGCGGCTCTTGCTGCTCTGCGGCAGCGCGGCGCACGCAAGCAAATAAATAAATAAGTGGGCGAAACTTTGGGGGAGGAAAAAAGCGGCGCGATGCTAAATATACCGAGCCCGCCCGCTGCGGGAAGCGGGCTCCTCGGGAGATGCCCGCATAGCCCGAGTCGCCCTTGACATTGGCGGGGGGAGCGAGGCGGGCAGCGCCCAACCAGCGGAGCCCGGCCCCGCCGCCCCGCTCTGCCCCGCCGCAGGGGAGGCGGAGGCGCGGCCGCCCCGCAGCGCGGCTCCGGCCCGCGGCTCAGGTAAACGGCTGCCGCTGTCTCAGACGGGGTTGAAACTCGGCTCCGGGCAGGCAAACCTGGGGGGCGGGTGAAGTTTGGGAGCTGGGGCAGAGGAGGGTTATCGGCCACGCCGCGGTTTTCCCCTTCTCCACTCCGGCCCGCCGCAGCCCTGCCGCTCTGCCCCTGCGCGGCCCGGGGTGTAATGCTGGAGGTGCCGCCGCGGCAGCGGGTCGCGCTAGGACCCCGCCGCCTCCGCCGCCGCCCGGGGCGCTCCGGGGGCGAACCGCGGCTCCCGGCTCGGCCCAGGGCTATAAGAGCGCAGTGGAGGGGAGAGGCGGGCGGGAGGTGTCGCGGGGTGGGGGGGAGGCGGGGGTGCCTGTGCCAAGTACGTGTTGTCCCTCCACCCCCTCTAAAAAAAGGAGTTACCGCCAAGAGAGACCCGGCGGCGGGAGGAGGGGAGAGAGGATTTTTCTTGAGATGCTGAGGATTCGTGTTACGGAGGTTTTGCTGCTTTGATATAGCTGCATTAATTAGCAAAGGGACAGAAGGGTTTCCTGCCTTTGCAGAAGGTTGCTCAAGGACCCGGCACGATGCAGAGGCTTGTGTGAAGGAGAGGACGGCTCTGGCAGCCCCTTGAGTTAAGCGCAAAACCCAAAGATAGGCTTTTTTGTGGGGTGAGGAGAGTGAGCGAGGCAAGGAGAAAAGGAGAAGAAACATAGTATCTTGGGGGCTGGAGGGAGAGATTGTATGGTGTGAATGATGATGTGCATCACTGAGGTGGTGGGGCCCAGGAAGGTCACTGGTGGAGAGAGAGCTCGGGAGGAAAATTTTGCAAGGGGTTGATTAAAAATAATTGACTCTCTGCATGTCCTCCTGCTCAGTGGGCACGAGGCACAGGGGGCAGCTCTCCTCGCTTTCCCCACAACAAAAAAAGGCAGCTCAGGTCTGACTGGTGCAGCCTTTCTGCATCCCCATCCCCCCCCCCCCCCCCCCCCCCCCCCCGCCCCAGCTGCCATTGTGACTTTACGCTTGGGAGGGGGGGGAAGAGACTTCTAGTTTCCATGTCTAGTTGGGAAACTGCAGCAGGGAAAGGCTGCATCCTGAACCCCCACAGACCTTTCAAGAACTGACACAGTCCATGTCAGTAGTGCATGAACCACCTCCCTTTATTTGACTCCATCAGTCTTTGCTGCTTTTTGAAGGATGGGATGGAGAAGCTTCAGAGCAGAGTCCCATTGTGGTAGTTCTGTACAAACTCACAGAAAGAAACAGTTGCTGCATGTCAGTCCATCCATTTTGATGTGTAAGAGCAGACGAGCCTCCAACAAAAAGGAGGAAAGCCAGTGTTCTCTGGTTCCATAGCATTTACCCTGTATATTGGGTTTAAGGACACTGCTCTTACACACACTGCTTATATCAGCATGAACATCTGCAGAATGACTTGGGAAAAACTGCAGAACTCACCATGTCAAAAATCATTATTCTTTATCAACTGGATCCTGGCAGTACCCAGAGGCCCCATTCAGGGCTCACAGTCCTATTGTGTCGGATACTGTAGACAAACGTAATAAGAGAGATGGTCTATGCCCAAAGAGCTTATGATCTTAACCCATGATGAAAGACAACAGGTGTATACCACAGACCCATGGGGGAAGGATAAGGGGAAAAGCAGCCTTGAGAATAAAAAGCAACAGGCCTGGCCAATGACAAGTGTTTGGTGTCAGAAAGAAGTTTTAAGGAGATTTGAAGGAGAACAATAAAGTAGCTGTATGGTTATTAATGGGAAGAGTTTTTTCCATGCGTTAATTTGGCTAACTTGGAAAAGAACATAAAATTGCTTGTTAGGCACTTGGATTGCTGAAAATTGAAGGTTTGTGCCACTGGCAAAATGGAAGGAATATAGCAAAGTGACTGAAAGGCCTGCTATCTGGTGTGCTCTTGGTCCAGAAACAACTGGGAAAAAGGCTCCCAATTCCTTTTCAGTGCTTTAAAATTTACATTTCTAGTCCCAGTGAAAAGTATTATATGGAATTTTATTTTTCGTTCTAGTGCAGGCTTCAGTATTTTGCATCTTGTACTCCCCAGCAACATACCTTATGAAAAATACCTGAAGGTGAAGAAGAAAGTATTGGTACAGTTGCCTTTTTTTTTTTTTTAAAGATACTTAAAGCCCACAGATTATTTGCTATAGGAACTGTAGTGTTATAAAAGTGTTATCTAAGTTAAGGCTTTGATGTCTGAACTACTCATAAGTATCAAAGCCACACATGAATTATGCAGGACATCCCCAAAATTATACCCATCTGTGAGTAGGTGGTGTTCCAACCCTGCTTCACATAAAATCTATGTGTGATGTGTAATGTCAAACTTACCCGTTGCACAAGTCTGGCATTACTGATAGCTGGGGCTTCATTAAAAACCTACACTTTTATCCCCAAGACACTGAGGCAGGAAGATCCCTACTCCTTGCTCCCCTCCACTCGAGGTTCACACCCACTTCCCTTATACCCTCCTGGAATCAAAGGCTGCATCTGCCCCAGTGAGTCACCAAGAGCTTACTCATCAGTTTATGCAGGATTTTAACTCCTGCAAGCAGAGCTGGGTCAGGAGGAGCCTGCATTTCTTGGGGAGTTCCTGGCACACGTGCTCCTCACAGGTTCACTAGGGTGACACCTCTGGCAAGGCTTAGAGATTATGACTTTTTTCTTTCTTTCTTTTTTGTAAACACTGATTCATCTGTACTGTGTCGACCAGTTCAGCTCTACAGGAACTTTTCACATATTGATTTTTGAATGTCATTTAAAAAAAAAAAAAATCAGCCTGCTATAAGAAATGATTGTTTGGGGGGCATATTGGTTGTTGGGTTTGGTTTTTTTTCATTCCTCCATGCTGTGTGATTTCACCAAAGTGCCTAACTCATTTATTTCCCAGCCTCACAGATGCAGAACTGGAAGACTTACATTACTGAAAAGACAGGTGCTGTGACTTTCCCCTGACACACATGGCATTTGCCACTTTTACTAAGACGCTGAGTCATCAAACTTTTAAAAGCTTTTTAATAAATTGACAATAATATAGAAAGTGATGCTATTTACAGTTTTCTTTAAAAATAAGATCTTTTAGGGTACTTTGAAGCATAATTTAAAGCTGGGTACAATAACTATTAATTCATCTTGCCTCACTTAAGGCTGTTGCAGTGGAGACATCAAGATCTAAACTACTTGTTCTTTAACACAGAAAAATAGGACCAATTTTAGGGCACAAATCATCTGACCTATTCTGTGCACCTACTTTAGGATGACGTGACTCATGCTCTGAAGATGCTTAATTCTCCCTCGTGTATGAAGGGAGCCTATATTAGATATAGACTTTTACATGACAGAGGTCTAGATAGGACTGGATGGATCCCACCTGCTGCACTATACATGTGATTCAGCATTTCCCCAGAATGGCTGCTGAGAGCACAAAACTATTAATATAGTTGCACAAATTAATCCTCCAAGGAAAATTCATGTCATCTCAGCAATGAAAAGGTACTGAAAGCCATGATTATGAAACACGATATTGCCTGGAAATAAATAAAATGTTTGTGAAAACCTGTAGCCACGTGACTCAGACTAACTGGATTAATGTAAGAAGTGCCTACAAGTTCAGAAAACTTGAGCTAGAGAAATGCATTTTCTTTCTCACTTCAAAAACTGTTGAAAAATCAGCAGTATTTATGACAAAAAAAAAAAAATACCTGTAAGAATCCCAGAAGACAACATAAAAGGGCCTGTTTCCCCCATCACCAAATGTTCAGGCCAGAGGAGTGTAAAACATGCAGTTTGAATGGAAACCTCCAAGAAAATGCCATCATCAGTGTCACCACGTGATACACAGCCACAGCAGGGTATCTGACCTGGATTTCTTAGGGCATTAGTGTGTTTTGCCACATACAGAAACTGGTGAATCTACATTAAATAAGTGTTAGCAGATCTTTCTGACCATCCTAGGGAGGAAGTTATCAGATTACATGTGTTAAGATATCTTAATTTAAGTATAGAATTAATAATGCCATTATTGATCAGATAGTGAAGTGCATCGACACAGATGTTGATACAGTCTTTTGAAATGCGGGTCCTTGGTGGTGGCACTTGGAGGTAGACAGGGTGATGTAAGTGTGAAAGCTGCCAAATGTTTAAAATTTCTCCAATGCCTGTATCTGAGATGGCTTGTATCTGCATTTTAGTAATGAATAGATAATCCATGATGTTGCAAGTCCCTCCTGCTCAAGAGCCAAAGTACCATTTGGAAGGAGAAAAGGGGAAAAGATCAGAGTTGCCATGTGTGTAGGTGACCACAGAGGCCTCCGCGTGGCAAATGATTCGTGTATCTCAGCTCACAGAGCTGCTCACTGTGAGAACAACTCTGCCCCTGCTTACCCCTTGCCTTGTGCACTTTTCTTGCCCAAGCACAGTGTCTCATCAAAGAGGTTTCTTTCTTCATGCTCCCATACTGCTGGTGCTCATTTGTGACTGCAGGCTCGGCAGGGTTTGCTAGCAAGCTGCAGGGTGTTCCTGAGGGGCTTCCTTTGCCTGACAGACTTCCTTTGTAGATAGTCCACCAGTTGAAAGAGGAGGTGACATTCATATACCAACCAAGGCATACCCAGAACATCTGCTGGATGCTACTTCCCATGCCAGCAACCAGCTGGTGTCACCTCCCCGGGGGCAAGGAGAAAATGCCTCCTGGTGCTTGCCCAGCTCAGCAGGAGCCGGGTGCGTGCCTCGCTTACCACTCTGCATGCACTGCAGCAGATACAGCATTCTGGTGTGCCTTTGCTCCGATAGAGAAGGTGACTATGCCAGCTCCATGATGGCTTCATGCCTGCTTTCTGGAATGGTCGAAGGCCTCACTAGCTTTCCCGATGGAAGTGATTACCTCTTCATCTAGGGCACCATAGCCATACAGGTCATCTCCTGCTGGAAATGCTGGTCACCAGACCCCAGGTGAAGGCCTCGGGGCCCCTGGCTGTCGCCGCCTCCAGAAGGCACGTCCGCGGAGGCTCCGCTCCCCAGGTCCGCTCAGGCCGCCTGTAGCTGCCACCCCAGGGCAGGTCCCCGCCGGAACCCCGGGGCAGGAGTGGGACCGAGCACTGCGGGGCAGGGGCAGCGCCCCGCCGCGCTTGTGCGGGGCTCTCTTGCCCTCTAGCGGGCAAAGCCAGCGGGGCGGCCCCGCCGCCGCATGGCGGGAGCGATCCCCGAGCTCCCGAACAGGGGACGGCCCAGCCACCCTACTGCGGCGAGCGGGCGGACGGGGCAGGAGGCCGGGGCCGAGCCAGCGCTGGGCGTGCTGCGTGTGGTGGGCATCCTGGCGGGGAGCAGAGCAAATGGAGTGCCACACGCAGAGCGCCCTTCCAGGATACCGCCGCCACCAGTCCGCCAGCAGTGCGGAGATGGACACTGCGCCACGGCCCCAACAAGCAGCACGAAGGCCTGATAAGCAAGACCATGATGGAGCAGTCGGAGGCACCACTGGTCTTTAATGGGTGTGATCCCCTCAGCTGGTCATGGTGGCTGACAATGTCCCTGTTGTGCAGTGCTGGCCAAGGAACAGATGGGCTATGCACCCCCAGCTGCTAGGCAGATATTGCATGCCTGCTACTGGTGATGACAAGGGTGCTTCAGGCATGGACTGCCCACGCAGGAACCTGAAGCCAGCTCTGCAGTGAGCCCACGGCCGAGTGGGGACAGAAATGGAGCTGGAGGCTGTGCTTGGGGAAGAGAGGACATCCATGCTTGTGTAGGGTACTCTGGCACACCATAGGAAGACCAGTTCTCAAATTGTCTAGTCTGTGTTTACTAAAAATTCTCCTTTTTTACTAATGCATTTGAAAATATTTCAGTTTCACTATCTCCATCATCTTCTCATATCCAAAACAGTAAAAACTTGGTCTTTTCCTACATTATTTAAAATGTATTATCTCCATCTAATGAAACATCTTATACCATCACTAGAAATTCTTTCTTTACAAGTATATTTTAGGAAATTTGCATTTCATTATAAACCTGTAGTGTCTTTCTACTGTAGTCTTCAGCTTCAATCTATCACTTTCCCCATTTTGTAAATCAATTTTATACTTCTGTGATCTCCCCATTTAAAAAATTATTTTCAGTACTATATACTGGATTTTTGCTCTGACTGGTGGTGTAACCACTGAACCACAGTGGGCTTAAAAGTTATCCTTGTTATGACATACAGCTTGTTATCCATCTAACAGAATTCAGAATTTGTTTTCTTCCTCTCTAAAGCTTTTCTCCTCTCACTCTCATTTATAATTTCCCATTCTTTGGGAAACGCTGACACCTCTGGAGTGACCTTCCCCTCTTGTTGGGGTTCCCTGAAGTAGGGTAGTGATGAGAAAGTCCTGTTTGCCAGTAGTGAATGTAATCAGGTCATTTGGAATGCAGTCACTTGGAAGCCTCCACTCTCTGCTACAGTTATTATAATCCTTTGTAATATTTTGCATGACTATGTCCGTTTTGTTCATTTAAATGCTACCCAATTACTTTGTTGATAACTAACATATTTTGCATAGTTTTGCCTTTTGATTTCCTTAATCATTCTGCTGCTGTTCCACCAATAACTCAACAGTATGTAACTGCACTCTGATTCAGTGATGTGCAGGGGCAGAAAATAATATAACCGTATTCTTCAAATAATTACCTTAGGTAAGTACTAATGTTTTCCTTTTGACTGACCAAATCAAAAGCATCTCTGACTAGAATCACGGCTTCTTCCTTCTGAACTTCCTGCTTTTACAGTAAGACCAGAGACCCTTCCCTCTTGTATGGAAAGGAAAGGGGCTGCTCTGGAGAAGTCAGTAGCTGTGGGGAGCTGAGGGAGTGTAAGATTACTAAGCCATTCCCCATAGAGGACTGCCATTTTATGTTTAAGTTATTTGTGAATAAGTTTCTAAAGGAACCAGGCAAAAGTGTGAGAATGAATGCTTCACATTTGGACAGAGTGGAAGGTCATGGAAAATGCACGCCATATTTTTGGTTTGAGAGAGTGTCTGACCTGTTTGATTCTCCAGTTAATATAAGGATATAAGAACACAGTTATAGCAGACTGGGACACAGCTATGTCACTACCTTTATGATAGCTGCAGTGGGAAACACCATCTAGCGAACACATCTGTTCCTGGCCACTTTGTGCAGTCTGATCCCCTCATTCCCATCCAGCAACCACAACCACTGGAAGAGGGATATTAGAAGGTACTGCCCTGCATATGCATACTTTGTTAATATGCTTATAGACCTGGTGCCCCTGAATTTGCTTAACCCTGCTTTGACCCTGCCTCCACAGTCTCCTATGACAACAAATTGTGGGAGTTCATTACTCTCTGTATAAAAATGAACTTTCTTCTATCAGTTTCACACCAATCTCCTACTAGCTTCATTGGAAACATCCTAATCCTTCTGCTGTTGAATAACAGGTGAGCAACAGTTACTCATTCACTTGATACACTCCATTAATGATTTTGTAAACCTTACTCTTTGCTCTCAGACTTCTCTCCAAACTGAAGTCTCGATATACGTAGCCTCTCATCAGGCACCCAGCAGGTGCAAAAGTCTTATTTTCTCCTTGAGGAGACAATAATTATTATACACATTTCAAACATTACCGGAAACTTAGGCAATATCAACCTGAACTAAAGGATGATAGAAAATGGGCTTAATGAATGGGCTTATGCAGTGTGTTATGTGCAGCTCACATGAGGCAGGTTATCAAAATTATTTCAGACAGAAGAATCCCAGGGGCATGCTTTTATTTGCTGTCAGGCCAGTTCTCCAGGAACTGATCAAGGAACCTACGTTTTGTGTACAGTATGTCAAATGTGTTGTAGAACCAATCAATGCTAAATTCATTCATACCTGCAATGTGACCATCACCACAGATACAGCAAGCAGTGGACCATTCATATAATGGATCTTGTAGCGTACCAGAGAGGTATCCAGGTGTTGACCATTATATAGCTCTCGTGAACACAGTTTTAACCATAGAGACTGCATCACAAGCTTATCTCGTCTTGATCCCTTGGCTAACTGCGCTAATGCTGTGTGCAACTAAAATGTTTGACCCTAGTACAAAATCAAATGATAGTTAAGACATTAACATGGAGGAGTGTTGATGCTCAGACATCACAAGCCATTAAATGATGTTGGTTAGACTTTTTATGCTTGATGGTATTCACTCTTTCCTCAGTGGTCAGACTGTAGTCCTAACATTGTCAACTCTTAGTGAATTACTACATTGGCAAGGTGAAGGTGGAGAGAAGGTTCTGCACTGTACAAATTGACATCAGTGTAATCTGTTCACATGCTGTCCTGAGGCATGAAAAGCATTTTATATATTATCCCATATGCTGGTGAGGAACTGAAAATGCCTATGACCTAGGAACTACTAAGGTGTTTCAGATAAGGAGTTTTTCTCCTCCAGATCTCTGTCATGCACAGCTGCAAACTATGTTTGAAGTTACACAGGGATTTAACCAATTGTAACAGTAGTCTCTTCTAGGTTTCAAATATGTGAAAAAAATAGGCTTTCAAGAAAAGGAAGAAAAAAACAACAGCAGTTCTGAGCTACTACCCAGCCCTCAGCATGATTCTCCCTCCCACTCTGTGGCTCTCAAGGCACTGCTTTTGTGAGGGCCACCAATACACTTCTGAGTATCAGGCTGTATCTTTATTGGCATACCTCTCTACGGAGAAGCTGAACAGAAAAGAGTCTCTACTCCTCTCCTACCCTTCATTTCTCAGAAAAATATGACAAGGAGATGAAAAGCTCTTTACTGACAAGAGTTTGCTTCTCTGCCTTCATAGCTGCTCTTGATAAAAAACAGCTTTCCCAACCTGTTGTTTAGAGATTTCATCAAAGTCTGTAAACCTGAAATCCACAGTGGGGATTTCCAGTACCCCCGCCCCCCTCAGCAGCTGTTATTCCAAGAGATCTTAGAAATTCACCAGAGGGTCTGAAAAACACATCAGCACTGGGAATCCACAACTAGCTTTTCAGAAATAGATGTCTGAACTGCTTTGCTTTTTCTAGGCATTGCAGTGAAATCACTGACAAGCAACGGGGGAAGAAACTGTTCAGGAGGCTCCTGTGCTTCCTCCGCTTTAAACACTGCTCTAGATTTGAGGAGAATTACATTTACTGTCAGGGATTCTCAGGGACTGGCTTTATAGCACAACCAAGCACTGAGAACTCACTTCTGCAGATACAGACAAACTGGCTCTGACTACCTTGCCCTTACTGCAGTAGCACTGCAGCCAACAGAACTACACATGCACATGTTGAGACATCAGACAGACCTCTAGTATTAGCGATCCTGCTTTTTTAAATGGGGGACAGGCTTGTGAAGAAACACATGGCAAAACTGAAGGAAAATTATCTTGCCAAGTCTCACGCTATGCTATTTGTATAAATCTTGATATGAACAAGCAGAAGGAATTTGTTTGAACTTTCTGGAATTCATAGCTTGTATTCTTGTAATTATCTGCTTGTTTCAGCTCTGTATCTGGGACCTGGTTCTGCTGCCCTGCTGAGGGTTGCTAAGTAGAGCTCTCACATACAGAGTCTGTAAGCTTGCCTCCTTCTTTAGAGTACGTGTTTTCCGGTGGTGTCTTCCAGTGAAGTAATGGTGACAACTCTGCAAACCCAGTTCCTCAAAGAAAAAAACGGAGCAGATTCTCAGCTCAAGTAAACTGCCACAACACTACCCCATTGCTGGAGCTCTGGCAATTGATATGAGCAGAAGATAAGCATGCATTTGGGTCATTTTTTCTCTCATGTAAAAAAACCCCAAACCTAAAACAAACCCTTACAGTTAGTTCTTCATTGCAAATCCTCAGAATTTGTGGGCCATTCTTGGCTGCAGCTTCCATAGCGATGGAAAACTGTGGAAATCACTATCATGGATAGTTAACAAAAAAGCCCAGGTAGACCAAGCACAGGGAAATGAGTATAATATCTGAGAACTGCTTAAACATTTAGAGAGTCACTCACTGAATTTCTGGAAAGACTGTTTGCAGCCCAGCTGCTCAAAATACTTGACTCTCAGATGTGTAAGTGTGAGGACTAAGTCCTTACTAAATGTTTTTAAATTATCCTCTCTGGAGACTTGACTGTCACTAAGTTTTTCTGGGATGCAGATTTTGGTCCAGTAGTTCCCATATTTTATTTACATTTTGAGTCATATGCTGCTTTCATAATTTTTTGTCTAGTCATTTTAAACATCTATGTAAAGTATTCAGACAAGAAGAGTGAATCTTGTAGCTATTATTATATTTGCAATTTCCCTTGGGTGTAAGCAAAGTCTATATAATGCAGAGTCTATCAAATATTTCAAATGTACTGCATTCCAAAGCTATTAAAAAGTTAAGGCATTACAGTTGTCTATTAACAGTGAGAATGAAGCTTATTTCATAGCATTCCTGAAAGGTAAAAAAAAATCTAAGACACACAAATGCCACACTTGAAAAATAACAGCATACTGGTAATATACTTGAAAAGAATTGGTCATTTATAAGGATGTTTTATAAGTGGAGTCTCTCTCTTCAGGAACAGAGAATCAAATAACTTCCATTACTAAAATGATTTGAAATTATGCTTTTTATAAGGCCAAGTATTAAAAAAAACCCAAACAACAAACCAGAGCCTAAATTAAGACTGAAAGGCTAAGATTCTCAGAACTGCACTTTGGTGTCTCTTTTTGGGCAATTAAATTCAAAAACTCCACAGATGCCTCATATGAGGGCTCAGTAAGTGAACTTCAGAAAGTACATATGGAAAATTAGGTCCATTTAGATCTCTTAATGGAATCATAGAATCATTTCATTTGGAAAAGACCTTTAAGATCATCAAGTCCAACTATTAACTCAGCACTGCCAAGCCCACCACTAAACCATGTCCCTAAGTGCACCACATCTATATATCTTTTAAATACTTCCAGGAATGGTGACTCACCCACTTCCATGGGCAGACTGTTCCAATGCTTGACAGCCCTTTTGGGGAAGAAATGTTTCCTAATATCGAGTCTAAACTTCCCCTGGCGCAACCTGAGGCCATTTCTTCTTGTCCTATTGTTTGTTGGTTGGAAGAAAAGACCACACTCACCTCACTACAACCTTCTTTCAGGTAGTTGTGGAGAGTGGTAAGGCCTCCCCTGAGCATTCTCCAGGCTAAACACCTCCAGTTCCCTCAGCCACTCCTCAGCAGACTTGTGCTCCAGGCCCTTCACAGGCTTTGTTGCCTTTCTCCAGCACTCCAATGTCTCTCTTGTAGTGAGGGGCCCAAAACTGAATACAGTATTCAAGGTGCAGCCTCACCAGTGCTGAGTACAGGGGGACAATTACTGTACTAGTCCTGCTGGCCACATTACTGCCAATACAAGGCAGGATGCTATTGGCCTTCTTGGCCACATCAGCACATTGCTGGCTCATATTCAGTTGGTTGTTGACCAGCACTCCCAGGTCCTTTTCCACCTCTGTGCAGTGTTTTATGTGGTTGTTGTGACTCTTCAATGTCTTTAACTATTTACTTACTTATGTCCTAAGTAAGGGTAAGGATTTCAGTGCCTGATTTTAAGCTCCCACTGTTTTAATTTCCTGGCTTCATCTTTCCATAGGGATATGACACTTTCATTGATCTATGGCATTTTTTTTAACATGTGAAAATTTAAAATACTTGCTTTACATCACTTCATACCTCCTTAGCTCTTCTGAAAATGACATCACCCAAATCTAAATCATGAAAGGCTTCCTATTTCATAGGATATAAAGTTATGATCTTTGCTTTAGAGTATTTGGGTAGTCACTGGGGTAGCCCTGCCAGGTTATGGAGAGCAGACGTGAGCTGCCAAGAAGGCTGGTAAGCATGGTACTTTATTCATGGTACCTTTTTATTCACATGATTCTTCTTAAGCAAAGTGAGAAGAAAAGCTGGTTCAGACAAGACAGCAGCAAACCTGTATGCAATATACAACACAAGAGAAGGAACATTAGTTTAATACTAAATTCTGCCTGTATCTGGCCTTCCAGCCTGACCTTACTAGCAATTCCCTTCAAGAGTAGTCCTTAGATAAACTACTTCTGATTAAAGGTTGTAAAATGACAATTTTTTTTTTGCATCTTTTGAACAGCATTTAAGCATAGAGATCACAGTCTTTACTCCTTCCCCTGTTAAACACAGAGATCACAGTCTGCCTCCTTCCCCCTCACTTTAGGTGGGGAACATGGGGATAAAGTTTACAGCTATTGTGTGTTCCAGGATTCTTCCTCACTGGGGTTGAATGTGGGTTCTTTGACCCTCAGGACTTCAGCCACTCTTGGCTGACTGAAAGTTCAAATCCTACGTCTGTCCCCTGGACAAATATTAGGCAGCAACTTCAAACTTTCTGAGGTAAGCTTCACGTAAGTGGCTTCAGTTGTAACTGCACAATGGTAAAGAACTGCATGAGCTTAAACAGTCTTACTCCAAGAGGGAATACAAACAGCTCAGCTGAAGGTCAGTTACGCCTAGATCATGACAAAACAGGAATCCACAATGAGCTAAAGAGGAGCTGTTCATGACACTACGCTCTTTGAATATAGTGAAAAATGCAGGCTAGTCCCTGCTAGTCCTAATGCTTGTATTTAGAACATATGTAACTGCTGAAAATTAATATCCTCTAGGATGCATTTACGAAGACTGTTTCAGCTTCGCTAAGGACCAGACTGGGTATCTATTGACATAAAACAAGGGAAAAGCTAAAATTCCTATCTCAGGAGAGATACATGTCCCAGTCCACAAAACGAACCATCAGTTTAGACTTACAGGCAAGGATTTCTTTCACATTGCAGAATGCTGTCTCATGCTTTTCTGAGGACATCTGTTCCGAGTCACTACAGCCTAGTTGGTTACCATCAGATCCAGCATTTCAATAGTACTAACTGCTGCCGTATGGCAGTTACTGTTGAGTCTGCAGAAATTAATCCAGTCTCTTTTTGCTGACAGCATAAGCCATGAGATTGCAATGTTACGTGAGCTGTTTTCACATTTTGTCTTCTGGGTCTTGTTTTTTATGTCTAATTTCTTATAATTATTGAAAGGCTCTACCCGTCTGTGCTTCTTTACCTTTTCAGGGAGGTGCAGTCAATGCAATTCAGTCATCTTTGATTTCATCTTCAGTTCTGCTCTCAGTATGGAGCTATCTCATCAGCTCCACATTACATCACAGCCTTTCCTTTCATCTTACTTATGCTTTGGTGTAGATGTCTGATGACTGGAGCAAGAAATACTCATTCATGAATGGAGTTTTCAAGCTCTTAATCACTCAGTATTTACAGCAGAAATTCTAGCATTTTGCCCTTAACAATAATGCGAGTAACTTTGCACTGGGTATTACATTATTTCATGTTGTTCGTAGCCTTCTAGTGAAAGCTCATTTAGTTCTTCTTGTGTAACAATCTGATCCTCTTCCATTTTTCTTACCAAATTCATCATCCTCAAAAGATGAGATTCCTCAAAGAATTATGTGTGTAAAACAGAGACTAAAAGAACATGTCATTCTAGAGCAAAACCCTGTTATCTTCATGCCAGCTATGGCCCCTGTGCCATAACCTCTTTGTCTAAGCTACTTTCAGCACCAAGGGCTCTGCATTGCAGCATACACATCTTCTGAAATGTCAGAAGGAGTTAATTTATCATCCTTCTACTCCCCTTCCTGATGTGAACATTCTCAGCTGTGGAGGGTTAGAGCTACAGCAGAGCCAGCTGAACAGTTGACTTATTCTGTCCTGCCGATGATGTGCCACATCCATACAGAGACAATCCCCTTTGCACAAAGAGCTTGGTAGGAATGCTCAAATCTCAAGCGCTTTCTTCAATTAAGCTTTTCAAAATCAAGCAAAATTTCACAGGCCTTTTGAATTTCCTTTTTTTCTATTTGTGTGACCATTATTCTCAGTATTTGCTAGGTGGTAACGTACCTTCAAGAAAGGAATATTTTCTGATATCCTGGTTCTCTGGAATACTGCTTTTTTGTTCTTGTTTAACCCCTTTGCCAGTTTTAGTATAGCCAACATGCTTTAACAGCTGATGAATCAAAGAGAACCACAACTTCAGATATTAAATATCTGAAAGTCAGTACAAGTACTTGGGAAAAACAAAAACTCTGCTTAAAGTGTGTACACAAAAGCTGGCAGCAGCTTTCAGAATTAAAAATCTCTACAGTACAAATGCAAGTAATGTGATCCCAAAATAAAAGGCTGCCTTAATATACATCTGTAAATAAAATATGATCTGTGCTACAGACTTGGTTAAGAGGGCTGGGGGACCAAGACTGAGAGCAGACTAATGTCGGCACCAGGAAAAGATTGCTTTTTGTTGGTTTGGGGATTTTTTTTGTTGGGGTTTTTTTTTTGTTCATTGGTTTTGGCCTTTTATTGAGCTCCTTCTGACATGAAAACCTTGATTCAGAACCTTTCAAGCACAAACCTCACCCAGCATCTGGTATGCAATGCACAGAGGCAAGTGCTTCCATATTCAGATAATCAACAGCAGTTACTTCTCTAGCAGCAATTTAGAGATTTGTAGGTAGAACTGCAGTCACGGAAAAATCTAAAAAGGGGACACTCCTTCCCCTCAACTGAAGCTTTGGGCTAAAATTCTAGTCCCCATTTCATCTTGCACAACATGTAAAAGATACAGAGAAAGACAAACAGAATTCCTTTTCCTTCTCTTATCATCATAACACTCTTGATCACAACATTGTTAGTCATTTTTCAGGCTGCTAATTCAAAGTCCACTGGCAGTTCCATTCTTTCCTCTTCAAGTACATTTTAATGGTATCTCATCTGAAATTCAAGCCTGGTAAACATAATAAATTTGATTGTAACTTAAGATTCCCTACTTATAAAATTAGCTTTTCAGAAAGAGTGCTGAATCTAAAGGAGAAAAAGTTGCAAATGATACCTGACAGCTTTAATGCTCTTATAACCACATTAACAAAAGATGCTGTGATTCATCATATATAAAGTTTTGTGAAAAAAAATTTGGGTGAGCTGAGAAAATAATGCTAACAGCTTTGCAGAACTACTTACAATTTAAAATAATCTGGGTGGCAGGGAAAATATGCGTGATTCTGAAGACTACAAAGTGTTCCAAAGTATGTAAAATTTTCTCTTGAAGAATCTGTTTTTGTGTAAAACATCAGCAGTAATTTCTACTTTCATAACTGCCAAGGTAATATCAAGTATGGAGAAACCAGGCAAGATACCTTCTCTAAGTAAACATCTTACCATTTCCCTGATTTGCTAGCATGAAAGATGTGGCTGACAGCAAACCCATACTTTGTGTCCATAAACTTAACACATAATATTATTACCTACGTGACAATTGGGTGGTGTATTGTAGGTATCAATCTTATAACTCCAGGATTCATAGGAGAAGGCAGGGCATTATGACTTTAATGACACAGTAAAGGACTCAGATAAACCAGTAGAGATGTAAAGTGCAAATAATGGCATTCTTGTCTTTTGGCCGAGAACTCAATCACCTGAACCAAACTGTATGACTTCTGTTTATGGATGTTCTGGAATTACTTACAGCGGATCTAGGGGGAGCAACTTTTTATTTATGCCATTTTGATAGAAACCTTAAGATAAACAAAATTCCAACAAACAATCAAACAAAACCCAACTATATCTGGCAACAACAACAACAACAAACAAAACCCAACAAACCCAAACCAAACTAATACTATAATCTTCATACTTCAAGATTTAATATAAGAAATGAAACTAAGGGCTAGACTATCATCCAGAATCTTCTCTTTTCATTTTCATTAGGGAAGAAATCTTTAAAGATCAATGTCAAATCATTTGCACAGCTATGTACAGGTTTCATCAAATCACAGAAATTTAGGGCTAGAGGGATCTCAAGAGATCATTTTCTGAAACTACAACACCGGGGCAGAATGAAATATGTAAAGAAGAGTCCAACAGATTGTTACCTGATTTGTCCAGAAGAAAATTTCCCATTAAGGATATTCTGCAGCCCTTCCACATAGC